TATGTGATATTTCAGAGCTTCATTCAGACGGACGTTCTCCTTAAACACAGAGCGCGAGGCATCGTCCAACTGCCTATATAGATACAAACAGAAAAAGCCTTTGACAAATCTTTATTTCACGTCAAAAGATATTTCAATCAGAATCATAAACAGGCTTATTACCAGGTAGGTTAACACATACGAGGATTTTGACTTGGTGTTGTAGTGCATACATATAAATAAAACAATTAAAAACACAGATAGAAAACTATTTGAAGAGAACTATAATAACATTAAACAAATATAGTAAAATATAGCAGTATTTACATTGAATATGATTGAAATCGTAGAAATAGAATTGGAATAAAATATGTGCAGTAATGGAAAAACGAAATAATTGTCCTGGTGTTAATATGAAGATTTTTAAACATGTTACACATATTTGCTCTCAGTTTCCCGGTTCCTCTTCATAAACGTTGGTCAATGTACTTGACTTTTTAAGACAAGCTGGGTCTGTTCAAAATTAAATCAATTACTGACACTAAGACCAGAGCGGCAGCACCACACCACACCAGTATCAATGTTGATGTTTTATGAGCTGTACAAAAATGACTAAACATAGCGGAGGCGAAATGTACATCCTATGGCCTCAAAAGTAATAAACGCTGGGCTTCCCCACACACATTACACTCTCCTCTGGGATGGAGATGTGATCATTGGCTCCGGTGATGTACACTATCTGAACATGACCAACCGGTGTGGTCAAGGAAATAACATTAGTCCTAGTTATATATATATTTACACACATAAACACTTGTGTGAGTACATTTTTTTTTCTTTGAGTTCTGAGAACATGAAAGTGCAGTTTAAAGAATAAAATTAGATTGTGAGAGGGGAAGCGGAAACACACACTCACACAATGGCTTCATTGTGGGCCCTCTCCACCACCACAGCTATCGTTCGCTCTGCTTCCTTCTCCAGGCGATCCTGCGGGGAAGTTTGCAAAAAAATCACTTCTTGTTCCACCTGGGATAACATCTTCTGTCATCTGTCCATGAAAATTATTTTTAAACCACTTTTGTTTCACTGGTTTTTCCAAATCGATCAGAGTAGGATCATTAGACTCGACCCACCTTTTCTTTGAAGAATCTGCACTCCACTTTGTTTAGGTTTTCCCTGTGCTTCTTGTCAGAAAGATCCATGTTTTCTCTAATCTAAAAAAATAAATGTTTTATTGTTCTTAGTAGCATTAACAAATGGAACAACTGCTTTTAATAGAAAAGTGGTTTTCCTCACATCACTGAGCTCCTGCTCCATCTGTGCTTTCCTCTTCTCAAACTCCTTAATTCTCTTCATCCCATCTTGGATCATGTTAAAGTCACTGGACTTCTTTCTGAACAGTTCCTTCATCTCATTGATTTGCCTCGTGTAATCATCAACCTGTTAGAAACAATCAGATCATATAGATTCATTATAACAACAGTATTAAATGCATGCCTTAACCCTCAAAATGCAGCTGCTCATCTAAATACTAAACAGTGTGTTACGGAAGTTTGTGAAAGATGAGACATGGGTGCATTTGATGAGGGGTCCTTCCGCTATAACATATTTCAATGAAAAATATGTGATTTTAACATCATTTTTGTCAATTACTATTGTCATATCTGTGCACAGTTAAAAGAAAAAGGAAAAAGCTGGATAATAAATCAACAACACCCGAAAAGCATAAACCAAAACTTGATAAGATCTGCACTTTTGACCAACTGAAACTTTACATCTGTGAAAAGTCATTTTGTGAATTAAGATGCGCTCCACCGTGTTTTAACAATTATTTGGTGGTGACCAAACTGGATGGGTGTTGCATCTAAGCCTTTTAATTGTGAGGAAAACCCTGCTAGTGCTTCAGAAAAATTCCCATAAGTGCAGTTTGAATCGGTAAGGAAAGAAAATACTTTCATACCAGAGTTCACACAGGCCATACCCATTTGCCAACCAACTTAAGCACAGACAAGTCAAGCTGAATACCTCAAGATGCTACTGTGGAAAAGCCAGTCTGAAGAAAAATGTGACAAAATGACCAAAGTCATGAGAGCCTAGAAAAACATCCACCCACAAACATGTACATGACGACTAAATTAGAGGTTTTCATCCCTCTGAATACAACGTTAGGCCTAATCGTTATTCTTCACATAACTTTGTATGTTCATCTACACCAATGCGCCAATCATGATGCAAGTCGGTCTGCATCACAAGCAATTCTCAGTGTGTGTGATCTACCGAATGGTCAACCTACCCCAAAATATGCACCCATTTTGAGTTTAAAGGGATTAGTCTTGCATGCATTCTGTCTTTTTCTCATGGCGTGCAGTATATACCGTTTTTTTTATTTGGCTGACGGAATTTCATTACACTACTGCTGAATTTGTCTCTCCTGAGACAAAAGCCAGGCGGTCATGCTCACTGAACTTCTTTGTTAGCTAAGTCAATTTTCAAGATGAACCCTATTATCACCTCAAAATTAGAAAAGGGCTGTGAACAGCGAGCCTTGAAGTCACGTGTTGAGGGTCAACCACATGACAGTGTTCTTTCCCCCTTATTGGACATATGTGACAGTTCCATACATGTCTAAAATAGGGATGTTACAACTTGGTCCAGACCGTGCCTCTTTTTTCCTTCTCAGAAGCTTATTGGACTCAATTTTACCAGCATGAAGTAAGAGTTGGGAAATGGAAAACAGCTGCTAGCAAAAGTAGCAACAGTTTTTTGAAGCCTTTTTGTCCCGTAAAGCCACTTGAACGTTGTCATGTCAGTTTGATAGCTTGATCTTCTTACCAACAAGCAGCAGGGGTCAGTGAGGATAAATGGAGTCAAAATAAGTTCCTTTGTTGTATATTACGCAACCTACACTGTTAGAGTAAGGATAAGTGTGACTTTTGATGGATGGTTAACACATCAGGACCAGCAGCAGTGTGACTCCCTTTCCCCGTGCAAGCACTTTTAATTCTTCTGTGGCCACTAGCATGGATTAAAATAGCATTAGAGACCCAGTAAATCGGAATGTCAGGGTTTGTTCTTTTGTTTTATGGCTGCTTTGTTTGGTTGTTGTTTTCTTACATAATGAATGCCAATATAATTGCACACAAGACAGCTGTTAAGACACAGCGCAGCACATTTGTACTACTTTAAGTAGCTCAAAGTAGTAAATTACAGCAATGTCATATTCTGCTATGATAAAGCAAGCTACAGCATGTTTGGTGTAAGCTAAAATTGCTTATCTTTTTTTGTGGCCGTTTAAAAAAAAAATGAACTCACCAGTTTGTTTTGCTCCTCCTGTGCAAGTCCCTGTTGATTTTTGAGGCTTCTCTGCAGCACGTTGATCTGTCAAAATGAGTCAGATTAAAAACAGTTAAAAATAGTTAATCATTCATCTTGTTTATTTTACAAACATAAATAACGTGTTTTTATGACCTTCTCCGCTTTAGCAGCATCTTGTTTCTTCAGAAAGCCAGTAATATCGATGGAGTCTTTCTCCGCGCGATACAGTTGGTTGGTGAGCTCTTCGTTTGCGCGTGCTAACTTCCGGCAGGCCTCGCGATACTCCACGAGCGACTGTTCGGTGACCTTTAACCTCAGCTCCCACAGCGCAGCGTTGGCCTTGGTTTTTTCACTGTCAGACTCTTTGTCCGCTTTTGACTCATGCTTGCTTTCTTTCTTTCCTTTTCTGTGACAAAATACAAAAGTGTAGTTGGAGTTTTGAACGCTAATGCAGTACAACGTGTAGCCTACACATAAACCCAAGTTACGCACTTACCCGGCTTTCGCCCTCTTCACTTTGGGGACCTTCTTCTTCGTCATTGTTGCTAGTTTTAAATGGCTACTGTGATAGCACAGAAAACACCTCCGTGCTACAAAAGGGAGAAGAAGTGGCTCGGTAATTAGTCCAGGAAGAGATTGGCTAACGGTACCGAGCTCCTGTGCAGCCCACTTGTTTGTGTGGTGCTGTTGCCATAGAGACGCTGTAACCCGGGTGAGGGTTTGAATTTCTCTGCTATATGACCTCTGGTAACCCTATAGGCAAACTACTATATATTTAATACACACAGACTTATTTAAGTTTGTTTGCTTGGTATTGTATGCACATTCTGATGTGATTATCTTTATGTAGCCTATGTATGTTTGTGTTTATGTATGTAAAAAGCACATGTGTTCTGTAGGCTTACATGGTTAGTGCAAGTTTGTTTATTATAGGCTACTGTATCATTTGTTGTATGGATGTAGAACTTAGATGGCATAGATGATTATTGGCACTAATTATATTGTGAACCTGTATACACAGTTATGCACTGGTATGAAAAAATTAGCAATGTATAGGTATCATGTAATATAAAAGCAAGTGTGTAACAGTAAGATAATGGATTATAGTGATATAACAATAATAATAAACATAACAGAATGAAAAAGTACATTATTCACATCTATATAAAGTTTAAATGAGTTTATCACAACAAATAAGCCAACATTAAACAAAAATAAATCAATGAAGAACAATTATTAAGTCAGTAAACGTAAAAAAATGGCCCTCAAAATGTCCCAGTACATGGTGATGTCCAACAAAGAGTCTTACACCCATACCAGTGGTGTATTACATTTCTTCTTTTATTACAAATATATGAGTCACGGACCAACAGCAAATCCTTAATTATAACCCTATTAAAAAACGTAAAAAATCATGTTGGATTGACTGTTGTAACTAACACCCTTTTCCTTATTTGCATTTATACATCATCACCTATTGCTTTTCTAACTTTGGTTGCAGGGTTTGGTTTTGTGTCTATCCTCTTGGAAAACGTGTGTTTCTCCTGCCAAAAGGTTCTAATCTATCAACCCATCACTCTGGGAGATTGTAAGATACAGATGTCTGTTCTGCTCAACAGCTTCCTGACTGACACGCTTTCTCACTTCTCTTGTAATTACAGTCTTCTCTGCTGGGCTCCATCAAACAGGATCTGTTTGCACATGATCTCCTCCCACATGATGACATGAAAAACATTCAGCTCTTGTCAGCAGTATTGTCCAGGTTGTCCTGAAAAGAACTATGAGTTAGTCTTTGCCATCCCCACAGTGCTTTTTCTAAAGTTATGGGAAAACCACTGAGATCAACCTAAATGCTATTGGCTTACATCTTCCAAGAATTTAATCCAAAAAAAACAATGTAAGGTTAGCGTAGGTCATAATTAAAGCTCGAAACCACAGAATTGTCTCCATTATCTTGTTCAGCTTTGTGCAAAAGCCTGAGAGTGTCCAGTGTTGATTATTCATCAAACAAGAAAGTAAATATCACAAAAGTGTTGGGTGTAGCTTCTGTAAACTGAATCATATAGGGTCATTCACAGCGCTGGCATCATCAACAGAGTTTGAAGACTAAATTTAAAGGTAATTACTATGACAGTGAGGAGAGAAAACTGAAATAACCCTGAGCTTTTCAAAGCTGTCATTATCATTGGAATTGTAATGACAAGGTTTGGGTCTCTTCAATTGACTTCTTGGGGTAGGACACCCACAAACATGGCATTCCTGAGGGTAACATTGCAGCATATTAATGATATATTGCACAGTGTAGATTACAAAGCTGGGGTCTCGTTTCATGCTTTATGGTTTCAGTTAACTTGAAACAAAATACCAAAATGTCCTTTCGAACATTGTTTGTAATGTGATGTGTCATGCTGTAGAAAGGCACTTATCATACAGAGTTTACAGCAGTGCACATTTGGACGACATCCTAACATGATTTGGCAACATATAGATGTTCCTTTATATTTGTTTAGTTTATTGTATGTATATTTCTAGACTCAATATTTAAAATTTCAGTTTCAGTTGTAAAATCTAAATTCATGGCATTTTACTCGGAGGGCAGTACCTTCTAAGGCGCATTATAATGCTATTATTAAAGTAGGTGTATAATTAAAACTAAACATGCTGTGATTCATGCTACAAATGGCTTGAGGTAGATTGCAGCTTTTCCAAACACTGCTCATTATCCACATCACTTATCACATCACTAAAATTACCACAAAATGTGTCTCAACATTAAAAACAAGAAAATATTGAACCATGATTTCCAAATAACGACACACCCTGGACAAAACACTGCTTCTTTCTATATGTTTTAATGGGACATCTTTATCCAGGGTTTATTGTCGCATTATCACACTGTTAACATGCAACCAAGACATCTATGGGCGATTCAGTGAGAGGTCCTGCACATGTACTCTTTGATAGGGGCAAACGACCATTCTGGTGAGCCGCAGGATTGAAAAAAGTAGCCACAGTATTTAGAAAAAAGGAAGGACACAAGAAAGTCCAATATTTTTAGTCCAAATTACAGTGTTGGAACAGTGCTTTGCACAGTTGAGTGTCCTGGGAGTGGAATGGCATGATGGGTTAACGCTGGTGCCAAGCCCCACCCTCCCCACATTGTCCTCTCTGTGGACTTTCTGCACTCTCTTGTGCCAATCTGCAGGACCTCTGCCCTTCCCTTACCCTCCTGCCTGGGATGTGGACAGCTTGGTTTCGGCCTGCTGCCTGAGGTGAAACAGCCTCGTATAAGCTCATGTTAGGTCAGTGCTGGGGCAGGGTCATTTCCCCCAGGATGCCTCAATTGCTAGTCTACCAGCGGCTCCTGGTTTAGATGTGTGTCCTCTTTCTGTTGATATAAAGTGGGTGAAAAATATCACAGCACAGTACAAAACTCAGTTCATGTAAGGTCTCAGAGTGTCTGCTGTGGGATATCCTTGATGCCTCTGCATCCTGCACTAAAGCCAGAAACTTTGCACATCACATGAGAAAGCATAAGCTGATACACTTCAGCATGGCTCATGATGGCGCGCCAACCACCCACCAAAAGCAGAGAAACAGCCACTCATGCTTTTCATGCATTCTCTCGTGAAACGTGCCGTGCTGTCCAAATATTTTTCCCTTGGAAAGCCTGTGGTTAACACGAGGATGAGTGGGAGTCAGATGATTGCTAACATTCTTTTAACTTTTATGCCAGCTGGAGTACAGGTTACATTTGCATTTTTTAAGGCTGGTAAAAGGACTGTAGCAGCTTTAATATGGTGATCATTGCAGGATCACAATAAGGAGATTGAGAGTATTAAAAAAAACACAAGATTCATTTGAGCTACTTAACATGATTTAGTAGATGTAATATCTAATAAGACAAAGGAAGAATCCATTAAAAAGCATAATGAGCCACATTTTCTGAAATTAGTACTTAGAATTTCTGTTTAATTTATTGTCTTCCCTTTGATCACAAGTGTAGTTTAATTAAATTAAACAGAACTAACCATTACTTATATTTTCAATTCCAAAAATTAGTGTAATTTAAGAGATTTAGATGTGCCTTTAGAGCTGCCAAATACAAACTTACATCACTCTTAATTTAGGCACTTGTTAAGTTGTTAAAGTCCAAAGAGTTGCCGGGTGAAGGACATTCTGAGGCAAATGCACCCATAAAAAGTATTATAAGACCATTTATTTTGGTTTTCTTGAGTGTGAACCCATTCATTTTGACTTCTTTATAAATCCTTTTCCTTGGGGGAATTCGTGGCTCCGGTATAACCAGTAAAGATGAGATGGGGAAAAAACACTATCAAAAATAATCCTCCACAAAAAAAAAAAAAGAAAAAGTTGTTGGTAGGCAGGTAGTTGGTCTCCAGCTCAGCTCACAGGAGGGGGGACTCCTGATGGAGTTGGGATGGACCGCCACAGGATTGGTGGATGGCTGCACTCGGTGTGGCCCCATGCCAAGCCCGTATGTCTTTATATAGTGTGAACGGGTGACCGGACAGTCCTGAGTGTGCATCGCATCCACTCTGCGTCTCTCCATCTCCACTGCTCTCTCTCTCTGCGGGGCCCCTGTCAATCTTTAACTCCAGCAGCATCCACCATATCTTCTTCTTCTCCTCCATCTTTACTCCTGTCTCTTTCTTTCCCCGGCTGTGAAAACAATGGCCACGCCGAGCCTGCTCCTCACTTTCTCCCTGTGGCTCCTGGCTGGGAGCCTCATAGTGGAGGCGACTTACTACCGGCACCACCGCTACGTCCCCCACGTCTACCGCTACCGGGAGCACTCTGCCAACACGGAGAACCTCCTCCCTGAGGTCTCCAACCCGGAGCCTGTAGTCCCACAGCGGGGTGAGCCGATCTACCCCGTGATCCCCGAGGTGTTCCACCCGGCACCTGAAGTCCTACACCCCTTACCAGAGGCTTTCCACCCGGTGCCCGAAGTCGTGCATCCTGCACCTGAGCCCTACCACCGAGCTGAGGTTTTCCATTCGGTGATTGAAGGATCCTCCCCCGTCAACATCAGCCGGGTTTTCTACGGGATCATGTTTGACGCTGGGAGCACGGGCAGCAGGATCCACATCTATAAGTTCATCCAGAAAGACCCTGGTAAGTGCACCACTTTCCCTCTCTGTACCTAAACCAATAGTCGAGATTTGCAAATACTGCTGGCTCCCACTCTGTCTACTTGCTGTTAGGTCATTCACTGTGTGGTGTGAGAAAAAACATTCACCGGCACAGGGCCAGAGCAATACAGCTGCTGAAAGTGGCTGAGGTTCACTTGTAATGTTAACTGCCTGACTCATATGTGTAGGCAGCAGGTCAGGGTGTAGGTGATACAGTCTAAATATCATGAGTTGCAAAAGGAAAAATATGCAATTATATGTAGTTGAGTTTCTATTTTTTTCCCAGTAGTATCCCTCTTGTTTATGATCTGTTCACTGACACTGACGTCTTTTTTAGTTGAGCTGCCAGTCCTGGCCAATGAAATGTACCACGCCGTGAAGCCTGGTCTTTCTGCCTATAAAGACAACCCTGAGGAGGTATGTATGCGCCTTTAAACCATCAATCAATATTAATTATCAGGTATATTAGGGAGTTGTTCACAGTCTGCAAAACCACTGGGATTTTCTTTGGGTTGGGTTCATGTGATGTAAACAGTGTGTAATTACAAAAAATGCCTGCTTCTGATGCTGTCACTGCTGCTGTCTGCTACCTGTGATTTACACATGTTTTTAAAGACTTTGACCACTGAATAAATATCTTAGTTTGATTATGAAATGTTCCTCCATTTGATGACTAAGCTGCCTGTAACTGATTGTCATATTTTCCATAGGGTGGCAACACTATCCGCCAGTTGCTGAAAATTGCCAAGAAGACAGTGCCAGAAGACGACTGGAGGAGGACGCCGGTGGTCCTGAAGGCCACAGCGGGTCTGCGTCTGCTGCCTGAGGATAAGGCAAATGCTCTTCTGAAGGAGGTAAGACACGTTTTCTCTCTGCCGTCAGACAGTTTGGTATAAACAGCACCCGTCCCGCCATGGAACGGGATGAGAAACCACTAAGTGCTTACAAGTGTCACTGAAAAAAGCAGCAAGTCTGCCCATTTGGTGGCTATCATGTTGTAAAAAAACAGCTGTTGTGGGGTTGTGTGGAGTAACCATATTTGTCATTTAGAGTATTAAATCCAGGCTACTGTTCCAGCCATGCTTGTGGTTGGGTTATCTGTCACTCTAAAACAGAACCAGAGCCTGAATACACTTTATCCTGCCACTAGCAGAATATTTGGGTGTGCAGCCTTGAATGTTTGTTGTGTTTTAACAGATCCAGCTGATAACTGTTATTAAACATCTACAGGTGCGAGAGGTTTTTGACGAGTCCCCTTTCTTCGTGCCAAACAACAGTGTTTCTATCTTGAACGGAGCAAAAGAAGGTAAATTAACTCTCAATGTCCTGTAACCAATTCGTACTATATATAATAAACAAAACATATGATTTGTATTAGTTTTATTTAAGACAGTTATATTTGATATATCAGGTGCTTTAAGTGCCTCCTTTACTCCGGATGCATCAGACAATGCTTCTTTCATAATTGTTTTTACAAGAGCTCTATTTCTACCTCACTGAGACAAATAAGTAAGCCAGTGTGAGTTGTTGCCCCACGCCCAATAATTTAGTGCGATCCTCCACATCACTCATTAAGACACCCTCACAATGTAATGTTTCATCATACAATATCTGCCATTCATTATCCTTACTTTATGAGCGCAATAACTTGACATCCGAGACAATTGTAATTACCTGGGCTGGTCTGCATTTTGGTTACACCAACTTTAATATCAGCATAATGATAGAGAGCTGAACTAAAAAGTTAAGACATTTAAATGTGAAAGTTGAGCCTAGGTTCGTTGTAATCACTTTTATACTAATACAGACATTTTCACCCATGTGCTGTTTTAGGAGTCCTCGCCTGGGTCACAGTGAACTTCCTTACAGGTAAGACATTGCTTGTGTTTTGCTATGCTGGTGTTAGTGGTCAGGAGGCTCATATCTGAGGCTCCAGTGTACACAGAAGCCCGGCAGTGAAAGACTCTTGTCTCCTGTCTGAGGTTATGAGTTTGAATCACTGGCCCCAAACAGGTTGCAAAAACAAGCAACATTTCCTCACGTTTTTCACACAGCTATGGAATCATCTCATTTATTTTAAACCACCACCTTAATCTTAAAACTATAAATGTTTTTCCCTCTTGGTGGGGAAAAATGTAATCTGTAAGCATGCTTCATCCTGACAGTAGTGGTTGTGAATGGAACGAGTTCTAACTAAAACTGGTGATTAAGCTAAAGTAATACACAGTATGCTCTGTTTGTTTCACTGAAGAGGAGTCATATCATGGTTTTAACGTTGAGCTTATTCTCCATAGGTCACTTGTACTCCAACACAAGGAGGACAGTGGGCATCCTGGACCTGGGTGGAGGATCTACACAGATCACGTTCCTTCCCAAGTCAAAGGTGAATTTTTGTATGTCCTGTATAAGCTTGTTTAAATAATTTCCTACCAAAAATGCAACACTAACATTGTTTTTTATCCAACAGAAAACTATTCAGTCTGCTCCCGCCACTTATATTTCTAATTTCAACCTCTTCAAACAAACCTATCAACTCTACACACACAGGTAAATAACAGATAAAGAAGATGCTATATTCTTAATTAATGAGATTTTGCTTGATAACTCTTATTCTATATGTCAATATCAAATAGCTACCTGGGAAATGGACTTTTTGCGGCCCGACTGGCGACTCTTGGAGCACTAGGAGCCGATGGTAAAGTATTTTCTTATAGCCTCCCTATTTGCCGTCTTGGCCATTCTTTCATAAATGTATAAAGGGAAGATTACAAAACTGTTTCTTGTTGTTGTTTTCCCAGGTCTAGATTGGAAAGTCTTCTCAAGTTCCTGCCTCCCGAAAAAGTTCACAGAAAACGTGACTTTTGGTGGAACCACCTACAAAGTTAGCGGGATTCCTGACGGTAAGATAAAAGCACCCTGAGGTTTAGATTGCTTTCCCAGTGCTTTGGATGAAGTGATCCACACATTCCTTTCTCAACTCCAGTAAACAATGGAGTACAGTATAATACAGTCTCTCATGAGAACATTTATGCGCTGAAGTTTCTGTAACCTTGGCGCCAAACGCATGTTTTGTCATCCTCTCTCTCTGTGTTCCCTCTTGAACAATTATACTGCAGTCAACCTTGTATTTAAACGAAAAGAAAACTGTCAGTTAACTTCACAAATAAGGCAGTCACTCCCATACCACAGTCAAGTAGCCAAAAGATGCTGGGCTTGTCCCTGAGTTGTTATTTTTTTTGTGTAACGAGCGGCTTGATCTGGACCGCTCACAATTATGTGGTAAAAATAGACAGGCCAACAGAGCCGCACTCACTGCCGCTCTTGTTATCACATGGTTTTGCCGACACAATTGAGCCAACCATACCCATGGGGCTGTGTGAAACTTGTACTTCTGGGGCTTCCCTTGTACGGTGAACCCCTAGCTTCAGACACTGTCTAACCTCAAACTCGGTCTCCAGACTCACAATGGCATTCCAAACATCGCTGCCCCAAAACACCTTTAATTCATTGTTTACTCAAACATTTCCTATATAAGTTAAGTCTTATTTTGTCTACATTCAACCATTTCTCTCTCTCTACAGGCTATGCAGGCTATAAGCTGTGCTACTATGAGGTTATGAAGGTAATCAAAGGAATAGTGCACCAGCCTTATGAAGTGAAGGGCAGCAGTGTCTTCTACGCCTTTTCTTACTACTTCGACAGAGCTGTGGAGTCTGGCCTCATCGGTGAGTGGGCGCAGAGCAAAGAGTAACCTTCCAGTGCCATCGTCTTTCATGCTAATTATCTTCCCCTGCACAAAATAGGTATTCAAATTGCATGTTTGTTTTTTCTGCACAGATGGCAGTCGAGGTGGTGCGGTTGAAGTCAGGGATTTTAAGAAGAGAGCCAAAGAAGGTAAGAGTTACATGTTATCTTCTTGAGGGTTTCATACACATGTGAATGAACCCAACAATCTACAAGTTATATATATCAGTCCTTTAACCGCTGAATTGAATGCAACAGTCCAGGCCCTAAACAGCAACGACACTCAAACTTTTTTTGTACCAAAAACACTTGGCACAATTGGCAGAGCCCATCCTGTCGAAAATCATTTAATACAGTAGTAAAATGTATTATGGAGATGGGTTATAAGACAAATGTAGTTTATAAAAGATCAAATACATGCTAACACCACTGTAAAACGTTGTAGCGCTCATTAGCTTCAGTGATTGACACTTGCAATGTCCATGTAGAACCAGATTTTAGCAAGTAGGAAGGAGTTGATGTGTTATGTAAGGCTGTTTGTGTTGTGAGAACACTGTCACATGGTCTTGAGGAACATGTCTAGCTCAGGCTGGCAGCTGGGCTGAAGATGTCTGTCTGGTGCAGGCAGGAGGGCACCTGACAGCCACACACCACCTGGGGGCTGACACATACTGAAACACACAAACTGTGTACACGGCTATTTAACACCGCCACCCTGCTGCAGCCTTGTGCTGACCCTCAGCCCTTCTCCTCGCACCTCCCTGTTTATTCAGCCAAACAAAACAGATAGGTTATCTTTTAATCATGTAGCATAGAGGTTAGAAAGGCTGCTTATTTGCTAAAACATGGAAGGTGACATCGTGATATAATGCAACAAGGTGTAATATCCTTTTTTTGTCAATTGTATATTAAACCTGTTGCTATTTGTGTTTGCAGTGTGCAACAAAATGACCAAGTACCGTGCTATCAGCCCCTTCCTCTGCATGGATTTGACATATATCACTTGTCTGCTAAAGGATGGCTTTGGCTTCAAGGACAGCACTGTGCTGCAGGTGAGTGACTCAGTGCTAGATTACTATATGGAGAGTAGGAGTCTAAGAGATACAAAATATGAAAAGCTACATGACAAAATGTTCATATTCAGTCTGTACAGTGTTGAAATGGTTTCGTTGTGGTTTAAATGACCCCCCCCCCCCCCCCCCTGTCAATCTGTTCAACAGCTAGCCAAGAAGGTGAACAACGTGGAGACGAGCTGGGCCCTGGGGGCAACCTTCGACTACTTCAGAAACCTCAATATCCACTAAGGACGGCTCGCTGTCACTGCAGCCGGCACTGAGAGGGACAGTTTGTTACTTTTGGGCTTCCCGTCCTCCGTCCACCCTTGATCAGACACACCTGGTCCCGCCACGCCCCTCCTCTTTTTCCCTCAACCTCCGCATGCTGCGAACACTCTGAGAACTGTTGAAAAAAGAAATCACTATATTTTTATAAGGCCAGCTATTTCTACTGTATGTTGAGCTCATAACTGGTGGGCTTGTTTTTTTTTTTTTAAACGTTTACATTTTTGATTCCTTATAGGGGTGTCTGATCTGAAATGTCTTTCTCGCCTGCCTGTTAAGTGTGGAGGGTAACCAGCATGGTATAATGGTACTTACTATGATCCTGGTGTGCACTGTACAGTACAGTGGGATTTATTTAGAGACTAGTTGCTGAAACAGCAACAATCTTTCATGCTTGTAAATCAACTTTCTTCACATTCTAGGGGTTAATTATTTTAACCTGAATTCATTGCCTCATAGTGACTATTGGAAATAGAGACGTTTTTAACCATACAGCTTATTTTCTTCAACTTTGCACATAACACTTTATTTGCAGATAGTGTAGCTAAGAAGTTTGCTTTGATATCGACAAAAGAGTTGTATATATTCATCAACCAGATTAGGATTGACCATGACTTCAGAGAGCGCCATGGAGAGGCCTCTGGCAGACTGAATTGTATAGATGTTACATGTATGGGCTTAATGTCTGTAGTTTTAAAGTCCAGCCATTATTGTTTGTTTTGTCTACAGTGGAAAGGACCTTCAGCATTGCTTAATTGCAGGGGCCCAAGGTCAAACTTTATTTTAGACAAGCGGTTAAAATAACCTCTCATTAAGCATGGATAGTGAATCAAACAACGTAATTTACAGCTATTAAAAACGGCAAAAATGTAAGCAAAACATTTAAAAGCTTTAAAACCCAGCTCTTTCATTTGATGCCGTTTTCTCAAAAACATTAGCCATTATGAATTCTGTTTTTTAATGCTCTTGTGAACTGTACAAATATTTATATAACTTTATATAATTTAGTGTATTTTAATTATCCTTATCCAACATTAACATTTGCATCTAACTGTTCTGTAAACCATGCTTTTGCTGTTCTTTCAGTATTCAACATGTTAAATAACTACTGCTGTATATACATAATGTAAATGTGTATTAGTGAAATCTTCACCAGGAACTGCTTTTACGTTGCAAAAAACTTTGCGCTGCACAGTTGATCAGATATACCTGTATGTATGTATCAGTATGAATATCAAGATGACTGAAAATATGTAAAATGCTGTTTTTATTAAATCCAGAGAAAAAGTGTATTGTATACATGTATGTTTTAATAAAACATGAGAAATCTACTTTCTGTGTACTTTTACATTTTTATACCCAGACAGTCTTCTCTTTTTCAAATTGTCAATGAAGTAAACGTTATTTTTCCTTTAAATTGAGCATAAAATTAAGCTTCTTATCAAACTACAAACATTGGATTATGACTATTCATTCTCAATACTGTTACCTTCATCCGAGAATGTAGCTCTTCATTAGGGCTGCTCAATATGAGGAAAATGAGTGATAACGCAATGAAATAAACAGCTATTAAAGTCTACTCTGCCATTCTTCTGCTTTCTGTACACTAGCATTGACATGTTTCGATGTGCTCAGGCCAGCTGCAATGTAGTGTTGTAGATGTGGGTTAATTTAGCACCAAAGCAAAGACAAGAAAGAAGACAATCACAACGGTTAAAATATATCTTAGTATTTAATTCTTTCTACATTCACACATTTTACAGCCTCTGAAACTTACAATCTTTAAAGATCCACTGAAAACGAATGCATCACTTGCTTGCAAATGACATGATCTGCTCCTGTAGAGGAAAAAAAGACATGTACTCAGAAACTCCGTAACCTTTGAGTCACGCGTACAAAAAGCCTGTAACAAGTGCGTGGCACTGCTGGCCTCTAAACAAGACCTGTAAACCAGCAAACTCTCAACATTTAATATGGAAAAAAGTCACGTTTAACTTTTGTGCCTCCATGGTGAACTGCCTTTACAGCCGGTTACAGTTGTGTTGGTCTGAATCACTTAGTAGGGAATAAAGTCATTTCACATGAGTGGTCGGTAATAAAAGGGGTGTGAAAACACAAGCCAACACCGCTGTCCGCTGCCCGAGGGCCAGCCCAGCACCCCACCCACACACTTTTGGTAAAACTAAATTTGGGGCTAAACTTAGATGCCATAGTAGTAGGTTCTGAACCCTGGAAATTATAGACACCGCTAGTAAGCTTTTAGCTTTAAAGTAAAGCTCCGTGTAATCAGAAAAAGAGGGTGGAGGGTGGGGTCAGGTTGGAGGCGGAGTTCAGGTGGTTTATATTATCTGTGAGATAGCCAGGTCCACTGGAATGTGTGGGAACATATGTTTGGATTTAGAAGCTAGAAGAGAGGAGCTTACTTTTAGCGTTGGGATCATGTTGGTGGCCTGCAGACCAAAGGTGCGTAGGAGAACCACGGGAGCGGCGTTAGTGGAGTAAAGGCGCTTCATCAGGTCGATGGCGGCCATCATGGGAAGATTTTTCCGCTGGCGTTCAGTTTCATATTCTAACAGGTGCTGTATTGCTCCTGCACAAACAAACAAAGAGAATATGAAGACATAGTATAAGCTTGTGTCTGTCTGTCATATGTTTTCTGCATGAACTCAAAACACTGGTGCTGCTTTGACTTCAGGGAAAGGAACAGTGGAAAAATATTTCTCATAACAGCATTTCATTTTTTTTCAAAACCCAACTTACATAGAGTTCTTGGCAGAATGAAGAGACAAAAAAACATCAAATAAAATGTTGCCGGAAAAGCTGTTGCTTTTTATAATTTGGATCAACAGCATGCATTTGAGTTGGGGCTATGGAAAAGAGCTTAGGGGAAACCACTATGGTTTGCAGCGCTTGTGTCTGTTTAGAGTTCTCACTGACCCAAGTCCTTCCCGTCAAAGGCTGCCTGGCTCAGGCGCTTTGTGAGGCAAGCCACATCCCCAAAGCCTAGGTTGGCTCCCTGACCCGCCAGAGGATGGACACGATGGGCTGCATCCCTGCAAAGACAAACATATCCCTTACAGAGGGCTATTTTATGCACTGCGCCAAAACGTGTCATTCCTCAACCCGGGGAGAAAAACCAGTGATGGAGAACAGATCATATCTCTTACTTAAAAAAAAAGTAGCAAAACCACAATGTAAAAATACTGGAAGGAAAAGATACTGTTGCTTAAGTAAAAATATGCACTTCTGTATCAAAATATACTTAGAAATAGCAAAGTAAAAGTACTCATTACGCAGAGTGGCCCATTCAGAATAATATAATTATTCAGTTGATTCACTGGATTATAATTATTGATGAATTGATATGTTAGCATCACTAATGTTGCGGCTAGTTACGTGGAGCTAATTAAAACAACTTTATATACTGCCTGGTAGCTGAATCCATTATTAAACATCATTATTTATAATGTGGGGTATATTTTGTGGTAATTAACTAAGATTATTTGCATTGAAAGTATAAATTTAAAGTAACAGAAAACTAAAAAGACTAAAGTAAAGTACATGTATCACAAATTGTATTAAAGTACAATAGCATAAGAAGTTACATTCCTTAATGATTAGTAGAGAAAACAATGAACAACTCCTATGCATACTCATATAAATCTGATATTCAGGACTTCTTTTTAACAGTATTTGACTTACAAAATGTGCAGAACATTACTTTCCTTATGGCTATCTTACCCAATGAGAGCTACGCGGTGCCTGATGTACTCTGAGGCATGACCGATGCCCAGAGGAAACATGACCCTGGACTTCGGGCTGATCCCCGCCACACTGGGGGGAAGCTGTCGAGGTGAACCTGCGGACGGCATTAAGACAGACAGGGCGCTGCGGAACAGAGAGCCGGCCGTCTCAATCAGCTCCGACTGGTTCTCATTACTCCACTGCACAAACAGACAGAGACATATTCACACAGAATGAATAACGACCAGAAGAGAGACAAAACAGACATTATCCCTTTGAGTGGTCAAATAAATTAGCTGACATAGGAGTAAAGCTGAAGTCCAGGCCAGCGAAAGTGCTCTTTTCCCCCTCCCTAACTAACTGGTTTGGCAGGGCTTTGAGAGCTGGGCTAATTAAAAGAAGATGCCGGCCTGGCTATGCAGTTGAATTAGCTCTGTTTGAAAAACATTCCATGCAGTAATGGTCGACACTGGGAAACCACAGGTTTAATTAGCAAACCAGGCCTGAAACCGAACGTGACTCAACCGTGGTGACCCCGTCCATCAGCAGGCCCAGTAAAAATAGCCAGCTTGGGAAAAAGGAGTTTCTCCAAACACAAGAAAAATGGATAGGTATGCCATTCTCTTAGTGAAATATTAGTATTGTATAACTTTTGGGCCAAACAATGACAGCATTGTTTGTATGAGTCACAGAAAAACAGCTCAACACTTAAGTGGGTCTATGGAGAATCCCTGCCACATGTAGCACAAATACAGATGTTGCAATATCTTCTAGACTGTCTATGAACACAACATCAGCAGTTTAATGGTAACAAGGCATGACTCACAAAGGCAGAGTTGATAGCGTCGACAAAGCTCTCCTCATCCAGCTCCAGCAGCTCCTCTGCGAGCCAATGGCTGGTCGACCACACCAGAGAGCTCTCTGTGTCCGACAGCTGCAGCGCACAGAGCGGGGTCAGTGAAGAGTTATCAAATACTTATGAGACCCGAGGAGACTTCGAGTAGAAACAAATACTGCAGTAAATAATGCAGATATATTACCGGTAACATTGCAATGGGTCCAGTTGGGAGGAACCGCTGCCATGCGACATTGTTCTCTGTGGGCTGTACAACACATAAATCAGATTTAATTAAATATCATACTGAAGTATTGTGGCATTGCATTGTATGGCACACATTTCTAATTACATATCTTGCACAAGATATTACAAAGGGTACTTCTGGATGGATTTGACATTAAAATTACTATCATAAAAAAAACACTTATTGCTTAAGAGTGTATCTTTTATGGATATAAATTGTGGGGAGTATGGGTTGAATGTGATGCTCACCTCTGATAGATTCAGCACAGCGACCACAGCTGATTGGTCATAATTCCACTTGACTGTGACTATCCCCAGGGCCCGGCGCACCATTGAGTTTGGTCCGTCTGCACCGATCTGAAAACAGATGAGCAAAAGTCAAAAACAAAAAAGGCTTAAAGAAATGCAGACTTATAGTTTGTGTTGATGGGATTAAACTAACCAACAGCTTGGTCTGAACCGTCTCTCCGCTGGCCAACGTGACCTTGACCCATGGGATGGAGTCAGCTGTCTGGTGGGGCATCGGCCACGCGTACTTCACCACCTTGGACCTGTACTGAACTCGCACGTTATCTGACAAACAACAAGGACATAAACGTGGTGACTACAAAGGCGACAGAAAAGAAAAACAAAGCAGTGGTTCTTAAAAATAAAAATGGCAACTGGTGTGGCTCTCACAACAAGAGGATCAATCTTCAGTTGTGTGTTTGTAGCATCACACTAAATCAGTGCTTTACTACTTTCTATGTCCAAAACGAGAGGATGCTCTTTTCTGCAGCCAAAGCAGTGGGAGATCTATAAACCACTTCATAAAACATAATTGGTTTTCCTCCCTGGCACACAGTAGCCGAAAAAGTTGACATTTGACAATCTCCCTAATGGTCTTGGCCTGCCACATTGCCCTAACTAATAGTGTTTATCTACAAAAACACCAGGCCACACTTTGCACATGCTGCCTGCTTTTTGGATTTTGCACTCTTCCTAAAATATCAGCAGCAGGTCAACCCAAACATGAAAGGACCCCGAGTTACGCTGCCTCGTGCCGACTTGGAGTGGGACCCATGCACAGATCTGCTACTGGTTTCTGAGCGCTAATGTCAAGTGTGGGTTTCCAGGGGATGAAGAGCAGGGTTACATTGAAACCAGCTGTCGTGGTGCACACTTTTCATGTACTGCATCTTGAGCGTAACAACACCACGGCTAAAATGGGAGGAGAGAGAGAAGCAGGCACAGTGGAAGGCACATGAGGCAAAAACGTGCCGTAACCACACATCCGTTGTTTGGTGCAAAATGTTGAAAACTGTTTTATAAATATGTCACTTTAACTGTCAAACACGTAGCAGAGCAAAGTTTTATTTGCGAACCTCACAAAAGTTGGTCTAATGTCAACAGCATTACAGCACCATACACTGTCAGGGCTTTGGTGTCTTAAGAGGTGGTGAAGTTTGGGAGCACATGGCAACTTTAAATAGGTCACTGGACCACTTC